AACCTTGAGTTCTAAGCATGTTGTAGCACAAGCTAATTAGTGTGCGGACCATTTTCATTTATATAGTACTCTGTGAACACAAATTAGTTAGCATAAATCAGTTCAATGACGAAAAATTAGCTGTCTATTTACTTGTGACCACTCAGTGTATATGATATTTAAACTTTTTGAGCATCATTGCGTCGCATAATACAGTTATCAGAATTATTCAGAAAAAATCTAGATTAAATGTTTCAATTTTTTTCATTAAATTTATTTATTATGAGGCTTCTACAATAAACTTGATTTTCATTTGTAACCAAACAATAACAAAATTCAGGTTAAATATATGAAAATAACGTATGATATTCTGTATGTAATTAAAATTAAAAATATTAGAAATTGAAGATAAAATTTTACTTGGAGCCGTTAGACGTGAAATAAAAATAAGCAATTCCATTTATTAATCTAAAAAAGTATTTCTCGATAACGTTTTACTTTTAGTTTTACATTGTTAAACTGAGAAAACTCGGTGAGGTGAAGTATGATACTCGTCCATTTCAATTGCACAAAATATAAATTGAAAAAGGACTTAGAAACGATCTTTTCTGATTCACAAGCTTATAGCAAATTTGTTTTTATTGCTAAAAATGTCTTCTCTTTCTTTTAGCATTTTTTTTAGTCAGTTATGCATTTGTCGCTCCTCGTGATAATTTGATCACTGTGTTAGGCTTAGGTGTGAACTTAGTTGTGTGATAGAAGAGAAACGACACCAACAGCTGCGCGTACGTTTACGGCAGTGATATAACCAAAAATGACCGACGAACATAGCATTATGACGGCGAAAGATCGATTGCTGCAGGTACAAAAACAAGAGAAAAAAGTTCTCCAAGGTATATAACTTTTTACTTTGCTTTCATTTTAATTAATTCATTTTTAAATTTAATATAAATATATTGCTCTTGGTATTAATATAAATTTATAATACAAGACGTTATCACAGGTTAATTGTTACTGTTAATAGAGTCATAATTGAAATTATAACACTAACAGTGTAAGAGGGTCTGTTATTATATAGTGTTGAGTTATTTACTTATTTTTAATTCCAGGTACTTATTTCCAACTTTTTGTCTTCACATAAATACAAAGCAAGAAATACGAATTAAGAGTCACACAAGTTTTGGCTTGGCACTGGCAGTATATTCATATTCAAAAAAGTGTTATTATTGCGTACATAAAATTTTATTTTCATGACAAAAACTTATAATAGCTTTTTAAATTGGTAATTTTTCTAATTCACTACTAACTATACTTACTAAGAAAAATCCAGACAGCTGTGTTGAAATTGTGAATTGTCATAGTAATGAGATAGCTGAACCCTATTGGTGAGCTATTACTATTAGAAAGCTAACTTATTCTGAGGTGTTGCTTATTTTAAGTCTTAATTATAATCTGAAAATTACAGAAATGAACAAATGCTGTTGTTAGATTTTTGAACTGAGAGTTTTGCCACCTTCGGCCAACAAGATTTTAAACTTCTGCCCAAGATGGAACCCTTACACCATTGTCATTGATTAATAAGTAAATATGTATATGTATGTATGTAAATATATATGAAATATGAAAAAAATATTACAGTTTGTAGTAAACGTTTTCTTGAACTTATCTATGTATTACTTTGAACTGTTTAGATTTATAAGAACATGATTTTCCCCAATGTTTTCTCACCTACATAGGTGTGAAGTACTTTTTTTAAGGTCTGGTTTCTTCAATTTATGAAAAACTCATTTTATATTTAAGTCAATTATCTTGCAGTATATGAATCTTATGAACACAATTTCCTGGTCAGTAAGTCATAGCACAAGGTAGTTATTTCTGTTGAAATTTAATTTAATATAACAGTTTTTATTGATTTTTTACAGTCTATTCAGTGATTTGCTTTGCCAAACTGCTAAAGTTGGGCCTATTTGTGAGTGTAGTTTTGTATATGAATGTTAGGAAGTTAGTTGAAAATAGATAAACAGGATTACTTTTAAGTAATCTGTTTAACTTTTACCTTTCGTTTTTCTAATTTTTTGATAAGGGTGTTTGACTCATCTAATATATCCTTTTGTTTCCTAGGCAGGGTATTTTGGTTTTGTAACTTTAAGAATGGTTCTCAATTATAATTTGGGTTAGATAAATCAAATGGCCTTCCATCACCTTTTACACTATCATGATTTTTTCCAAGGTGTAAAGAAATGAATAGCACTACTGTAATAATGGTTTAAATCGTATGATATTGTTATTTTTTATTTCTTTACTTCTCAATATTAAACAAAAATAAATTATGGGATTAAAACAATTTAAGAATAATAAAACTAACTTCATTTAAATCTAAGTTCATTATTATATATATATTTTTTTAAATTAGCTCGTATACAAGATCTCAAGCATTCTGTGCCTAAAGGTGACAAAAAGAAAAAGAAAGAGGTAGCAGTACAGATAGCTACTCTTGAAGAAGAAATGGCAAAGAAACATGAAAGTGAACTAAGAGGATTTGAATCATCAATGTGTGAAGAAAAGGTCATACTTATGTACTAATTTTTGAAGAAATAGCTAATAAGGATTATGTTATACTATTACCGATCACAACCATTGGTGGTTATAATTTCATTGTATAAGGTCACTGATTAGGCCATATTTGAAATATTTGCAATCTATTCCTACCCTAAAAAGAACACTGTATTGTTCAAAAGGGTTCAGAGGAAGGCTATTAGGATGATAACTTGAATGTAAAGGTTGTCACACAAGGACAGGTTAAGATCTCTGAAAATTTCTCTATAAAAAAAAAAGAGAGATGTTAGAGAGGATCTGATTTATAATGTTGACTTGTAGTGTTTATTTGTAATTAATGGTGATTCTAGGGTACATAAATATAAATTTTTAGCTAGCATAGTTTTATTTTTAATAAGGTGGTTGGTTTTTGGAATGAGGTGCTTTCAGATGTGATGGATACTGTAAAGTTGAGAGAATTTAAGCGAAAGCTTGATAAAAATTTGAATGATAAGGGCTGGCTTTGAGGTGTTGTTTTTTTAAGTTTATTTTGATAAGTCAGATGGTCAACAGGTCCCTTTTTGATTCTATATTATTATTATATATTACTTGTGCAGAATTGTAGAAATGTTTAAGATTTTACCAAATGTTTAGAAAAAAGGACCAATAAAGAAATCACATTTTTAATTATTGTTTTTACATCTCTGAAGTGTTCTAATTTTGTGGATTTAAATTTTTTTATTATTTGGTATCCTTTTGTTTTTGTATATAATGCCTCAGTATTTTGTATAGTTTATCTAATGTTTGATTATTTATTATTATTATTGTTTTTTTCAGGTTGAAGAGATGACTGAGAATGTGGGTGATTTGACTGTTTCAGGCAATCCACAAATAGACCATCTTACCTCAGAGAAGCAACAGAAAATAACAAGAAGCCAGAAACGAAGGGTTAGTTTGCAAACAAAGAATTTGGTCAAAGAGTTTTCATGTTATCTTTGTTCAAAGTAAACATTTTCAATAAAAAATAAGTTGAGTATATCATGTTCCACTCCAAGATGTGGAGTCAAGTGATATGATTCCACATTGTTGTTAAAGTGTTTAATGTTATATTGTTGAGTGTTTAATGTTATATTGTTGAGTGTTTAATGTTATATTGTTGAGTGTTTAATGTTATATTGTTAAGTGTTTAATGTTATATTGTTGAGTGTTTCATGTTATATTGTTAAGTGTTTAATGTTATATTGTTGAAACAATATAACATAAACACTCAACAATATAACATTAAACACATGTATTTTTATGTTGTCAATACAGCATATGTTCTCAGCAGTAAATCTAAACATTGGTTTTACTTTACTTCTTTTTGTAAACACACGTTAAAAAAACTGTCTAAAAGAGTCCTACAAGATTTAAAAGTTCAGTGTAATCAGTATAGAATTCAACAACTTTGTTTTGTTATTGTAAAGTGTATATTTTTTATAGCCTTTGAAGATCATAATTTTTAATCAATATCTAGTTCAGATTATGGTCATTAAAGAAAAAAAAACATTATGTTCGTTGATTTGATAGATTGATGGATATTTATTCGTTTGTCATTGCACGGTATCTTATAGGATTTAATTTCAACTTGTTATGTTTTTGTTAATAATCTTTAATATATTTCATCTTATGGTACAATTTAAAAGCAAGAGGTATACAGTATTATAAGGGGGTTGTTGTATTTTTTGTTAATATTTAATTCTCTACGTACTTAAATTATTATGAAGGAAATATATAATTGTATATTTACAATTAAAAATTTTGTTGTTAAGTTGTGCCTGTTGGTTAGTTATATCTTATTAGTCATATATCACTATCTAGTCTGTACTATAATTTCATTTTAATGTTTTCTAGGAGAAAAAAGCTAATGAAGAAAGAGTTCGAAAACAGAGAATTGAAGAACAAGAAAGAGAAAACTTGACTGGAGTTCGAAATGTTGAGGCGGAGAAGTTGAAAGAGATCTTAGCTAATCGAAAATTGGCTATATATGAGGTGTGAAGAGTTTCGTATCAAAGTTACTTTTAAAGTTAACCAAATGATAAGAGAACTCTATAAATACATAAAGAATAGATAATGAAAGGTTAAATAGTTTATAATAATTATGGGTATCATTCAAGTTGTATCTAACACACACTCCCACCCATGTCACACAAACATACACACGTATACGTTTTTCTATGATATATTATTTACATTCTCAGAAATGAGAAATATTAGAAATTTATTTTTTTATCTCTTAGTTTTAGAACATAAGATGTTAGTTTAAATATAATGACAAGTAAAAAGTTTTTTCGAAGAATACTTGCTGTGTTAAAGCCTTTAAGTAATTGTATGTATATTAACTGAGATATCTATAATTTTACATTTTCAGATTCCTTCTGATGGTAATTGGTAAGTTATATTTACTGGTTTGTTTAAGAAATAGTTGTGTTTCTAGTTTGTATATATACATATATGTGATTCTTTTATTTAGGCTACGAACTTAATTGTTTGAACTGCTCCTGATAAAAAAATTCTCTGTAGATTTTCAAAGTAGGATTGATATACTTTAATGTATTCTTTTTAAAAGTTTAATTTTCTCTACTTGCAGTCTCTATAAAGCTGTAGAGCATCAGTTAAAGTTGAGCAACATTGAGGTGAGATATTGATAAAAATAGGTTTTTAACTTGCTTTCTTAGTAATTCAGTTATTTGAAACCATAAAAAAAGAAATAGACAATTAAAAATTAACTTGTTTCTTGGATTGAGCTTAACGAATTGATCATGAAGGCTTAATGATTAAGAGAAAATTTAATATTATTTATAATCTTAGTCACACATGTTCGATGGAGGCTTTTAAACTTTAAACTTAAATTAAATGCTTCTTTTAAGTTCTCAATAGCTAACATGCTTGAATTATAGTAACTTAGATCTAAACTGACAATTAAGAAATTAGAAAGACAATAATTGGTTATCAGTTATATTAATCATTGAACTAAAAAAAATCTAAATTTACTCGTTATTGATGAAAGCAGTGATTGTCAAAACTGACAAGATTTGTAAGAAAAACAATAAACTGAAGAATAAGTTAACGTGATCTGACGCGGTACAGTAAGGATGTGTTTTAAAAATATTCGAGCTCTCTAATATTTGCATGTACGTGTTGGAAAGTTACCAACTTGTGATTTAAATGTACATAAGATCTAAAAGAATTAAAATATTGTAACAGTTTATGTCTATATCTGAATTATGGACACATATAACCGGTTTTGTATTCGTTTAAAATACATATCAAACTGAAACCTCTGACAAGGACTTGTAAGGGTCTAAATTCTTCACTTTCTTATCTGATATTTTAGACATCAGTACCGATTTTAAGAGAACAAACGGCAAACTACCTTCGAGAACATAGTACAGATTATTTACCTTTTCTAACAAGTGCAAAAATGGGAGATTTTATGACGGAAGGTAACGTATAGTAAAAGCTCATCATAGTAAGTTAATTTACTAATATTGATTAGAGTAAAGCTGTCTCCTTGTTGTAAATGGTGAATTTTCTTGGTGTTTGTATATATATATACATGTGTGTGTTGTTAACTTACTCTCTAAATTGATTGTGAGAAAGTTTTTTAATTGTTTAAAAAAGAAATTTTCCTATATTACATTTTTTTGTCCTAAACTGTACCTACCCATTCTTTGTGAAGCTTTGCAGTAACATCGAGGGCATCTTCACTCTTCCATAACAATAAGTAATAGTGTTTATCAAATGTTATCGGTCAGGTAGTTAGGGCGCTTGACTCGCTATGTGTTGGTTCGAATCCTGTCACACCAAACATGCTTGCCCTTTCAGCTGTGGGGGCATTATAATGTGACAATGAATCCCACTATTTGTTGGTAAAAGAGTAGCCCAAGAGTTGGTGGTGGATGGTGATGACTAGCTGCCTTCCCTCTAGTCTTACACTGCTAAATTAGGGACGGCTAGTGCTGGTAGTCCTCATGTAGTTTTGCACAAAGTTCAAAAACAAACGGATGTTATTATGCACTAATGGTAGTTAACAAAACATTGTCTCCACTATTTTCTGTGTGCATTTCAGCACACATACAATTACTTTTAAGATATTCAGTGTGTGATTTAAATGAGGAATGATTTAAATGAGTAAAACTGGTACTTTCTTTTCCCAATCAGATGAACTTGAAGAATACTGCAATGAAATAGCTAACACTTCTGCGTGGGGTGGACTAATTGAGGTTGGCCTCTTTCTCTTATATTCCAAACTTACTTTTCTTTTGTTTTGTTGTTGAAATATGTGAACTTGCACATATATTGTTAACAAAACTGTTTTTTATTTTAGTTAAGTGATGCAAATGTAATTATGAAATAATTTAAAACACTTGATAAGACATTTTGATTGAACAACCTAACCATGACAAGAGTGGTGTGGAATTCATCATGATCCAAAACCATTTGAAAGAATTAATCTTATTTGTATTTGAGTCTTGTCTTTGAGTAACATTTTATAAAGATTATCACAGTAGACACTGCAAAAAAAATAAATCTTATTCTGAGACCTGGCCATGACCAGGACCATTAATACTGCTTTCATAGACACTGTATTAAAATGTGTGTGTGTGTGTATATATATTATATATATATATATATATTATTTATTTATTTTGTTAAGTTCTCTTCT